TTATACAGACACACACACACACACACACAGAGAGAGAGAGAGAGAGAGAGAGAGAGAGAGAGAGAGAGAGAGAGAGTACATTTAAAACTATATGTTTAGGCGTACCATTATTTTTCAAGTAATTCACTCAAACTTATAATTAGTTAGAGTAGGAAGTAAAAAGAATCTAGAAAAAGACCATTGAAAACCACTTCCATACTGTTTCCAAGAAAACTACATGAACTGTATGTTCATGAAGCAAATGGCACTAAGCTTAAATTTAAAAAAAAAAAGCCAGGCTCAAAAATTCATCCAGTAGATTGAGAAAGGGCAAAGGAATTCCTTGTTTACAGGTAGTCCTCGGCTTTCAACCATTCATTTAGTGACCATTCAAAGTTACAACGGCACTGAAAAAAGTGACTTATGACAATTTTTCACACTTACGACTGTTGCAGCATCCCCATAATCACATGATCAAAATTCAGATAATTGGTGACTGGCATGTATTCCTGATGGCTGCAGTGTCCCAGGGTCAGGTGATCCCCTTTTGTGACCTTCTGACCAGCAAAGTCAATGGGGAAGCCAAATTCACTTAACAACCATGTTACTAATTTAACAACTGTGGTGATTCACTTAACAACTTTTAAGAAAGGGAAGAAAGGTCATAAAATAGAGCCAAATTCACTTAACAACTGTCTTGGTTAACAGCAGAAAGTTTGGACTCAACTGCAGCCATAAAAAGAGGATTAACTATACATACTATACATGTGAAAGCCTCTCCTTCTGTCCATAGATTGGCTGCCTCAGTACCTGAAATTTGCACAGTATACTATGCCATCATGTAGTTTGCTTGTTTATGGTTTTCCGAGTTGCATGAAACCAATCTATTTGATGTTCTTCAGTAAAATGTGGTAAAGCAATTTCAAGAGTTACACTGTATAGCAGAAACCCCAGAGAATTTCAAGATGAATAGCTTAAGAGAGAGAACATGACTTAGTGTTTTTTCATGCAGAAGTGCTCAAATTCCAACTGATTTTTTAAACAATCAAGTAGTAAATGGGGGACAAAATATTTTGCCAACTACCAACAGAAAGTACCTCTGCTCAGGCAAAGTATACAACATTGTCTACATCAGTTTTCTGTGCTCCTGATGGATGACTGAAAAGTGTCAACTTTCTGGCCTTGATGACACTTTCATTGTGAGTACAAACTGCCAGATGACTCCTGAAAGGCTTGGAGTAACAGGGAGCATAGGATTAAGAAAAGTTAGAAAAATGTGCTGGAATATGGTAGTTTACCTTGAAGGTAAGAGCACATCCCTGCAATTGAAAGGGTTTTCCAGGGTTTGCTAATAATTATGATGAAATATTCATAAACATTTGCTCTTCAAACATCAGGGAAGAAGATTGCTAGAGAAATCAGAATCTCTAAGTAATGACAGTCTCCTAAGAGCAGTCTGGAGACCCTTTGCTCTTTGGGACATAGAAGACAAGGGGAAAAAAAAGATTGACGGCATTTGTCCTGGATTTGTAAATATCTAGGATTGTTCTGCATATGAAGGGGGGGGGAATGAACTACTATATAGCTCAGACAGCTGGTTCAGTGTCTGTTAATCTTGCACTTTCTCATCTTTTCCAGTTCCTTCTGAGTTGAATTCCCATGAAGCACATATCACTACCTTTGCAATTCTCAGTGTAAATGCAAACTGTCTCTTTTAATTATGTGAACACTCTTTACAGATCAACTTTAAATTTGTTTTACTGGCTTTTTAAAAAGGAGGAAAGTAAGAAAAACCCAAGTTTTTTTTAGAAACCACCCATATAGTCAGTTATGAATGTATTTTGGAATTATGATGGGGAGGATTTGCAAACCATCTCTTACAATGGCAAACAATGACACACATAATGTTCATACAACTGGACCATTTTCTGAGTAGTAAATGTTTATTCTAAAGACAAAGTCCCTATTGTCTTTTGGGATGTCTTCATTTTCCAGTCTAGCCTACTGAATAGCCCTCATCATGTCCTCTAGTAATGAATTCCACAGGTTAATTATGTGCTGTGTGAAGAAGTGTTTCCTTATGTCTTTTTTAAATCTCCTTTTAATCAGCGTGGTAGGCTATTATCTGTTAGTGTCCCATCTAGCCATGTCCATCTCTGTGTAGCTTTTCAAGATCCATTTGTTCTTCCAGTTTCTTTTTAAATTCCACCCATCTTTTAGGATACTCGTGGTAGAAAATGTTGGTTTTCTCCTTTTAGTTTCACATCACATTAACTTCACAACAGTCCTGTAAAGCACATTATTTAAAGCCAGTGGTAGATAAATATTTATGCCTTATGCTTTCCTTTTAATTTTTTTTTCAGCCTCCAGGGGCTGCAGAGATTATTGGTGAAGCCAAAATGTTCAACCTGTTTTTAAGTTTTATTTTTGGGAGTTTGGGACATTAACACAAAACAGATATATTTATTGTTCTGGAAGCTTATGGATATATTGTTGTTGTTTTTTTTAATTAAAAAAAAACACCTTAAAATGTCAAAAGGAAAAAAGTCCCATCCCTTCTTTTAAAAAGAAATCTAGAGCAAGGTTGTATTAAACCTTCCAAGCATTTCACTGCCAAAAATGCTAACTTGCTATCAATTTGCTGAAATGCAATCCAGGGATGTTTGGAAGAATTGCAAAAATGAGGCTGGGGTATTGTGTGAGAGCCAAGCACTGCTAAGCTACATTATGAAAATCTATATTACCTAAAAAAAAATACTGTGAAAAGGAAGCAGCATTATTTTGGATTGTTGGAGAGGTAACTGTCTTAATCTATAGCAGGAAAAAACATAAAATATTTTCCCGGTATATTAACAGCTAAAAGATGCAAGTAGGTTATAAGCTGTTGTAGTCCAGATTCCAGTTTTATCACATGCATGAAATCTTATGCCTTCCATTTTCTCAGTATCTGAAAAATGGATGTTTTTGGTAGGGTTTTGCCTGGCAATAATATCAGCTGGAAAGAGGTATTTTTGGATTTGTCATTCCCTTTTTAAAAATTAAAAGCTTTTGAATTAGAAGAGGAGATTACTCACTGGGTCTCTATATGATTCTGCTTTCTCACTTTTTCTCCTTTTAGTCAGCCTTTACTAAAAATAGCTATTTTTACCCCATTTCTAAGTTAAGTAAGATTGAATGATTTGCTCACATGGAATATAGCAGAATTATTCAGAGGAATAATTTTTGTTTTGATTTTCTATATGATATACTACAGGTAGTCCTCAACTTATGACTACAATTGAGTCCAAATTTCGGTTGCTAAATGAGACAGTTGTTAAGTAAGTTTTGCCTCATTTTACGACCTTTCTGATTCACTTGCACAGCTGTTAAGTGAATCATTGTAGTTGTTAAGTTCAATGAATCTGGCTTTCCCATGGACTTTGCTTATCAGAAGGTTGCAAAAGGTGATCACATGACCCTGGGACACTGCAACCGTCATGAATATGAGCCAGTGGCAAAGTATCCAAATTTTGATCACGTGACTGCTGGGATGCTGCAACAGTTGTAAGTGTGAAAAATGGTCATAAGTCAATTTTTAGTGTGTTGTAACTTTGAATGGTCATTAAATGAATGGACTACTTGCACTGTGGTCTTCAAACAATGAGAAGGAATAATGTAAACAAGGGATTCATACTACGAGATGGGAGGGGAAGGGTATGTTTTTAGCCATCAGAATTTTTGATAGAACCAGCATTAGGGAATACAGCCAGATTTTGGTCCAGGTTCATCATTTGCATTAAAAAGTTAGAATTCACTGAGTTAAGTGAAGTACTTTACCTGGCAGAAGTAGCTAAATCCCAGCAATATAATTGTGACACTTGCAAACATCAAATATATGACTAGTATATCGTATTTATTACTATGCTTTCTATTGATCCTATAACATCATGCCTTGGAACATGACAAACCCTTCTATAGAATGAGGCTTTCTATTTCAGTATGAAAGAGATTCTGATAGCCGTATCCAAATGAGCTAATCATTCATTTCAGCTACAGCTTCAAAACATATTTGTTAAGGTGAGAAGATGTAGCTACTTCCTTGAAATATGGAGAGCTTTCAGGTTGTCCTGTAACAATTCTCTAATATATTCCATTTTCAAGAGAAGAAAACAATCTGGTCATTCTCAGAGTGTAATCAGACCTTCACACAAGACTTCTATGAGATGCTTTACAATGTGGAAGATTGCCATCATCAGGAAACTATAAGATACTTTCTAACTAAACCTCCATGGAATCCTGGCTCAAAGAATTTAATTAATTATCATGATGATGATGAAGGCCAGTGGTGGTTTTGAGATGTAGGCCTAGACATCTTAAAGAAATATCAGTTGCTAGCATATTAAAGATGCTGCAGCTAAAGCCCTAACTTCTACCATTGAATCCCTGCTCCTAACCCTAAAGGTGTGTGCCTCCACAATTGCTCACCCACTGCATGTCTCGTATTCCAAGTCTGATTCCCGATATCTGAAGTTTTATTGGGAGGCTACTTAAGAACTTAGAATAACTGCAGCTATAAATACATCAGAGAAATCTCATCTGAACATCCACTTTGAGTCTTAAGTGCCACAGTTGAAAGAAATCGGTTAGGATGATACACTTCTTTACCAGTTGTGCATGTGCAACAATCTATAATGCATGCACTGTCATGTATATAATAATTGCATGCATTTGTGGGAATGCTCCTCTAATTTGTTCTTTTCTTCAGAAACAAATAGCACTATTGCATCTGAGAACCCTTTTCTAATTCTTCCATTAACTTAATCATTACTGCATTTATAGATAGGGGAAAAAAATAATTTTTGGTTTTCCATGGCTCTACAAAATGCATTTTCTTTCATCCAGGCAGCAAGTGGTTTATTTTCAATTGCACATTTTTTTTTAATGCTTCAAGATGTTTTGATAGAACAAAACATGAGTCAGTTGCCCATCTCTTGCTTCTAGGAAGGTTACCCACCAAACTGATGCAAACTCTTTCTTCTCAGGTGCCTCCCGATCCTCTGTTGTCCGATGCAAGCCGGGAGCCAACTGCCCCAGCACACAGAGTGGCCTCCGCAGGCAGCATTCCCCTTTATCCGCTGCTGCTGAAGATTCTGCTGCTCCCATTCTAGAGCTGCAGAGTCGAAGTCCCTCTGGATTTTGCCGGCACGGCAGAGGAGAGAGGCAGGACAGATCAGGTAGGCTTACAGTAGACTTGAATAAAATGAAAATAAAATGTAATGGGGAGAAAAGCAAGTTTTTACACTTAGGCAAAAAACAAAAACAAAACCCAAAAAACAAAACCAAAGGTACAAGTACAGATTAGGCAAAAATTGGCTCAAAACAGTAACTGTGAGAGGCACCTTGACGTCCTAGTGGATGATCACTTAAATATGAGCCAGCAGTGTGCGGCAGTAGCCAAAAAAGCTAATACAATCCTTGGTTGCATAAACAGAGGCATAGAATCAAAATCATGTGACGTATTAGTTCTGCTTTATAAATTCTTAATAAGACCACACCTGGAATACTGCATCCAGTTTTGGTCACCATGTTACAAAAAAGATGTTGAGACTTTGGAAAAAGTGCAGAGAAGAGCAACTAACATGATTAAATCCTGGAGACTAAAACATATGGAGAATGGTTGCAGGAATTGAATTGGCTAGTCTAGAGAAAAGAAGGGCTAGGGGTGACATGGTACAGTATTCCAGTATTTGAGGGGCTGCCACAAAGAAGGGAGGGTCAACTTATTTTCCAAAGCACTAGAAGGCAAGACAAGAAACAATGGGTGGAAACTGACCAAAGAGAGAAGCAACCTGGAATTAAGGAGAAATTTCCTAACAGTGAGAACAACTAACCAGTGGAACAACTTGCCTTCAGAAGCTATAGTTACTTCATCACTAGAGGTCTTTAAGAAGAGAAATGGTATAGGGTCTCCTGCTTCAGCAGGGGGTTGGATTAGAAGACCTCCAAGGTCCTTTCTGATTGATTATTCTGATTGATTATCACAACTCCATTTGTGCTTTGGGTGCAAAACCTCCTCTGCCCTACCAAAGCATGAATGGTATGGTTTCTTGGGTTGTGATCATCATTGTCCACTTTGCCCATACTTCTCTATGCTGGGGTTTTGTAGGCAAGAAGAACTAATGGGCAAAAGTGGTGCACTATGTGGCCTTACACAGATGTTTGTAGCAAACTAGTTGCACACAGAAGATCCAGCAGAGACAGAACACCTCTGCAGGATAAAACATTAATTCCATACCATCATTATGGCAAGGGGCGCATTGAAATCAAACAGGATCTTTCAAACCTCAAGACTAACCTTAACTTGATTCTGCCATCAGAACACTAATTTTATCTACCTTGGTCATGATGAGAAGAGGAAGAATAGGGTGGAGGAAAAGGCTTTTCTTTTATCCTGGTGAAAGATCAGTCTTAAATCACCAGGAAAATGTATGGCAGAGAAGGAAAGATTTTTTCCTTAAATATAGCTTTCACCCTTGGTGACTTTGATTTTAAAAACATAATAATCAGAGAGAAAGCTGTAGAAATGTGATTTTTCCTCCCCTTTGCCTTGTGACTCTCTTATCTCATGATTCCTCTTTTGCTAATCTCTGAATTTATTTTGGCTGGCTAAGAGCAGCCACAAAAAAATGCAAGTGTATTATTTTTCCCCCCCCTGCTTTTTAATTTACAGAAGAAAAAAACCCTGATGAGGGTGATTTACAAAATACTGCAATGAAAATAATAAGATAAATACAGTTATATTATTAAAAATAATATAACCAAGTGATATAGATTAAAATATCAATATGTTTCAATCATGAATACAGCATACAGTTTGAAAAGTGGACAGTCAGAACATCAGTGTAATTGTTGCAAGGTCTGGATAAGAAAATATTATTGTGAAATGGGCACCGTGATGAAGAAATTGTAGAAATATGTTATTGTTGTAATTTAGATACAATTTAGTAGCCATTGTGTTATCTATCTGTCTATCTAGACCACGGGTGTCAAACTCGCTGCATCACGTGACGTGTTGCAACCTTTTTGCATTGCCGGATCTGGGGTGGGTGCAGCCTCTGCATAATGTAACCGGCCGGCGGGCCAGCAGTTGACACCCCTGACCTAGACACCAGGATTTGAAAACAATTTGATGGAACATAATCAATTAATAATCAATGTTATTTATCAAACATTTGCCAATGCTGGAATGCTTAGTAAAATAGTTGCGTGTAGAAATGTCTACACAAGATACACTGTTTCCTTCAAATTGACAAAAAGCAGTGTGCATTTGTTTGTTTGTTTAATTTATAAGCTGTCCAAAGCGACTCTTGGATGTGTTGCCTAGTTGCAAACTCCGCCCCTTCCATTTTTGCATTTGTGTGACATCATACACAAAAGGAGCGGAGCTCTCTCCACCTCTAGTTGCATCCTCTATCATTTGCGGGGGAGGGGGGGGTAAATGATATTTTGCATTAAGATTTATATTTTGTAAAAAGAACCAAGTTGTGCTCCTTTCCAATAACAGAGTGTTGCATACTGATACTGATACTGTTTCCTCTGATTGGCATTGAGTCTCCAGGATCTCAGATAGACAGTGGATTTTCACAATACTTTTACTTGATTGTTTTTCAGCAGACTTCCTTGGAGCTGAACCCTGGATCTTCTGCATACAAAGTTTGCACCATCCACTTTCCAAAGTATAACAGTATATTCTCTGTGCAGGTTCTATTGCACAGTTGATTTGTATGCGTAGTTGTAATAGAAGTAGTAGCAGCATGCAGGAACCAACCCCAGACATGAAGGTTTATTTATTTATTTATTATTTAAATTTATATACCGCCCTATCTCCCTTACGGGACTCAGGGCGGTGAACAGGCAATAATAAAAATTACAATAAATATTGAATAAAAAGCCTGCTCTAAAATACCCCATATAAAACCCCTAGCAAAGCCCAATCAAAACTATGCCAGGCCGGCCGCACGGAATAGATGAGCCTTCAGGGCTCGGCGAAAAAGGCGCAGGTCCGCAACTGTACGTAGGTCTGGGGGGTAGTCATTCCAGAGGGCAGGAGCTGCCACAGAGAAGGCTCTCCCCCTGGGGGTCGCCAGCCGGCATTGACTGGCCGACGGCACCCTAAGGAGGCTCTCTCTGTGGGAGCGGACTGGTCGAAGGGAGATATTTGGTAGGAGGCGGTCTTGCAAATACCTAGGTCCATTGCCATGGAGCGCTTTAAAAGTTGTTACTAGCACCTTGAAGCACACCCGGAAGGCCACCGGCAGCCAGTGTAGCTCGCGCAGGAGAGGTGTTACATGGGAGTATCTAGAGGCCCCCCAAATCCCCTGCACAGCCGCATTCTGAACTAGCTGGAGCCTCCAGGTGCACCTCAAGGGGAGCCCCATGTAGAGAGCGTTGCAATAGTCCAGGCGGGAAACAACGAGGGCTTGAGTGACCGTGCGTAGGGCGTCCCGATCCAGAAAGGGGCGCAACTGGTTTATCAGGCGAGCCTGATGAAAAGCCCCCCTGGCCACGGCCGTCACATGATCGTCTAAAGACAGCCGAGCATCCAGGAGGACACCCAGGTTGCGGGCCCTCTCCGCGGGGGCTAATGACTCGCCCCCAATAGCCAGAGATGGAGCCAGCTGGCTATGTCGTGACGCCGGAAACCACAGCCACTCGGTCTTGGACGGGTTGAGTCGAAGCCTGTTCCTCCCCATTTTGAAATGTTCCTTTGTAAACTAACTATTGCAACCAATCCTAGTCCAATTCTTAACTAATGGAGAAAACTTCATGGGTTCTCATTCTTTTAATAAGTCAGCCAGTCAAGTAGCTGTTTAGGAACTCTTTGTGCATGCACAGAAGCATAAATCCATTAGACTGGAGTGAAGAAGTTGATGATCAAGATAACAAAACAAATCCAATTAGTTAAGAAAGATAAGGGGAAAAGAAACACAATACTCTAAAAATAGAGGGCTCATAAATACCTTAATAAGTTTTACCCTAAAGCAAGTCAGACAGCTGAGAAATGGAATTTTGTCCATTCTATTTGGGATAGCTCAGAACCAGATAAATAGGAGGTGTCCCCATGAAAATAGTCAATATTTTAATTTAGAAAATTTAATGTCTGATAAATTAATCCTTTGCTTTATGGAGCGATCAGAAAGAAAAAGAATTTCTGCTATGAGAAGCTGTGAGAGCTATGAGAAGAAAATGAATCTAAATTTCAGTGTTTGCTGGCACAAAAGTGTTCTGATGGAAGAAATCTTCCCCTTTCTCTAGGTAACAGTTGATTTATTAATCATATTTATTAATCGTATATGGCTGCCCATCTCATATGCATGACTCTGGGCAGCTGAGAGGACAAAAACAGAATAAAAACACAAATAACATAAAAATAGCAGCCAAGAACACTCTCAGCATGTCACATTTAATATAGCCAAGAAATGGGCTCACCACATTAACAGAGTCCTAAGCTTATGACAAAGCCAAGTTTTTAATGAGTTGGAGAAGGCCAGGGTTGGGGCAACTCTGATCTTGGAGAGGGTGAGGTACCAAAGGGCAGGTGCCAGAGCAGAAAAGGCCCTCTTCCTGGGTCCTGCCAATGTTGTCCCTCTTGCAGATGGGATCTAGAGCATGCCTCTCCTGCTGGATCTAATAGGATTGCTATTTCTACTGTTTACATGAGGTATACAGATACAAAATTCCTTTTATAGACCATAATAGTAGTTGAATTTTTCCTAATTAATTTATTTGTAGCAATCCCTAATACTTTTGGGTTTCAGTAAGAGTTCGTTAGTCACAGAAAGGTTGTCACAGTTGTAATAATAATAGTATAGTTGATTTCTAAGCCCTGTTCAGGTGATACCTTTGCAGGTAGATCTCAACATGCAAGAAATGGTGAGCAGCTCCTCCACTTTATAAATTATATTGGTCATTAAAGGGCTGGTTTCCAAGGCTACAGTTGATTATCTGCAGTGGGAAAATGGCTTTTGCATCATAGTGGAAAGATCTAATTCAGTGTGTCCCATGTATTCCCCCTCTAGCACACCCCTCCCCTGCCATCTGGTCTCCTTAACCATATACATTCATCTGAGGTGGATCACCTGATGTTGGTGGGTAGCACTTCTTGTGCAGGAAAATGCTACCCATTCATAATTCTCTACTTTGAGAATTTCTTTAGAGCAACAGATACTGGATAGCCGACTGGGAAGTCAACCATCCAAGAGAAATGGCTGTTTCAGGCAGTGATTGCAGGATCAACCAATGGGACCTTGGCCCTTTGCTTCTCCTCCTGCTCCCTCACCAAAAGCATCTGCTTTGTTGTACTTCATGATAGGGCCAGTTGTGATCCTCCATCTGTTGCCATAGAAATTCTATTTTGCTAATTCTGTTAATTTGCTGCAGTTGATATCCTCTGCACATTTTTTAGTTAAGTATATAAGATAGCCATCCCCACCTGGAATCCTCTAGAAATATTGGAATTGCAACTTTTAGCATTCACAGCTAGCATAGCCACTTCTAACCCATCTGAGGCTGAGGCTGTCCTACTATAACTTCTTAAAAATCTGAATAACCTCAGCAGCTACTGACCTTTGTCCTTGCTTTGCTACTCCCTCCTTTGCTTCTACTTGTCATGCAAAGTAGAAGCAAAGAAGTTATCCTTTTTGCGATTGTAAGGAAGAATATCCTTGAAAAGGCAACCCAATGTGAGATGCTGACTATGGCAAGTTTATGTTTATAGTAATAGCAACAGCACTTAGTCTTATATACCGCTTCATAGTGCTTTACTTCAGGTGATTTACAGAGTCAGCATATTGCCCCCAACAATCTGGGTCCTCATCTTACCCCCCTCAGAAGATTGGAAGGCTGAGTCAACCTTGAGCTGGTGAGAATCGAACTGATGGCAGTCGGCAGAATTAGCCTGCAATATTGCGTACTAACCACGCCTCTTATTCAGGAAAGATGGACATCAGCATAGGGGTCTTATTTAAGAGCCCACTAAACATGAGAATTGGCATCATAGATGGGAGCAGAGAAGAGAAATAGTTGCTGCAAACTTTGATGTCAAAAAGATGCATTCAGGGTTTGTAGTTCTCCCCACGACCCCAAGAAACATTTACATTAACTCTGTTCCTCTTTTCTGACAGTGCATAATACAGAAAACCTGCTTAGATACTAGTGATATGAAAATCCCATAACTCTAATATGATGTTCTTCTAGTCTACCAACATTTACAAGGTCACTTAATTCCTTCTCTTCTTGAAATCTTCTTGGCTAGCATTTCCCATCTTGGCATCTTCCAGTTGTGCTGAAACAGAAGCTCCCCAAACTCATACAAGCAGAAGTCTTTTTTTTTTTTTTTTGGCAACAGGAAAAATGCATTTTGTCTGGATGTTAACAGTACTTTGAAAAGTTATGGTTTCTTGTGATTCCTCTTTTTTCATTAATCAGGACAATCAATGCATTGGTCTCCAACCTAGCTTTCATTTCTTTAATTATCTTCATTGCCTCTGTTTGCAGGAGAAGAAGAGACACAAACTAAAGCTGAAAACAGCAGCCAGGAGAGCCACGCACAGACCCGTTGTGAGTCTTGTACATCTACATTTCTCAAGATTGTCTGGGGATTTCTAATTATTTTGTCAGTCTCATCCTCTTGGATTGGAACAACACAGATTGTCAAAATCACATACAAGAACTTTGATTATCCATTTTTCATGACTTGGTTTTCTACAAATTGGAATATTATGTTTTTCCCCATTTATTACTCTGGACATCTTGCAACTGCCCAGGAAAAGCAGTCTCCAATCAAAAAAATCAGGTAGGTTTTTAGCAGTCTTTCCTATTTGGTTAGACTTCAGTCTTGTCATTTAAAAGACTTTGACATCTTTTCTTCATTCAAGGAAAAAAAGAGATTGGGAAAAAAGTTTTGTAGCCATGTCAACTTGTTCAAAGAACAGTTCTTCAAAAAGCATTCTCATTTTTTCTTTCTTGTATATATTTAATGAATTCTCTTCCTTTTTGTTTTTTTTAGAATGTGTTTTAAAAATCCCAGTACATGGCTGACTGGGTTTTCCAGAACTTTTCATGAAATAAAATGTTACAAAAAATGGAATAAAAAGCCAAAAGAAAGTCCAAAATTGAGATGATTTTTTTACATTGTTTGATGAATCCACACAATTATTATTACTTTTTTGAAAAAAATATTTTCGTATGTACATTAGAGACTATGACAGCTGCCACCTTATGCTTGCTTGTGCTTTGCTGCTATGCGGTGAAAACTGTCATGAACTGTGGGGAGGGGGAATGAAGGAGGGAAGGCTTGGGGAAATGAAAATAAGTGCTGTATCTCCTTGAGACTCTGCCTCAAGGTCACCCAGCTGGAAGAAGGAGAGGGCTGCATACCAAAATGCACTTGGACTGACCATAATGAAAACATCTTGCCTGAACCTGATGGTTACACTGGGGTAGTCAATGAGAGATAGTTAAGGGAGGGAAAAGTAGAACTTGGGGATTTGGGCATGCAATTTTCAGTTCTGGCTTTCCAATACTGCAATATACTTGATCTCTAATAAACTATACCTTTCTCAACAAATGGAGCCAAGGATCATTTCTATTTAGAGATTTAAGTTGTGGCAGGTCTGACAGACTGCAAGTTTTAGCCTTTGTTATTCTGGCAGCTGGAAACTAAAGCTCTGAAGAAAGAGGGGAATCATTGTTCAGTGATAAAATGGCACTTGCATGCAGAACGTCTCTAGTCCAGGGACTGGTGTTCTTGTATAAAAGTAGCAGATGACAGAGAGATAATTCTTCATCAGTTACTTTGAAGGATTGTAGCTACTTAATACCACTTAGTAGTGTCGAATTTTATTTTTTACAAGTAATCATAAATTCCATGAAATATTTTAACTAGGATTAAGTAGGGAATCAGCTAAGAGGGACCAATTGCTTGCTGTTTGGGGTTTTTTTTTCATTCAGAGCAAATTATCACCAACAGCTGTATCTTGAGTGGCAAATTGAATGACAAATTCTCCAACTAGCAAGATGTTATCCTAGATTAATGCTTCTCAACCTTGGCAACTTGAAGATGTATAGACTTCAGCTCCCATAATTCCTCAGCCAGCAAATTTTGGGAGGAAACCCACATATCTTTAGGTTGCCAGGGTTGAGAATCTTAGTCCTAGATGTTTCCCTTGAGCAAGATCCTATGTCATATGATTTCCACTCCATTCCAGATAGGTTGGAATGCAATCTCTACCCCATCTAGATAGGATTCCATGATCTCTATTTTCTTATCAGTCTTCTCCCAGGCCATGCTGGCACAGGCAAGCCTTCAATGGTTATGCCTTGGGCCACTGTTGAATAGGCAAACCTTTAAAAGCCAAAGTGGCCAAAATCCATCTTGGTTCACCTGCTCCTTTCTCTCTTGCTCAACATTTCAAGACTAGCCAAACTGTCCTCTTCCCTTCCTTCCTCTTGGAAAAGTTTCTGTATAGGTGCTTATTTCTTTATGTCTATGGAGATTCTCTGTCATCCAGATCATGGTTGTCCCAAAGGTGCTTTTTTCCACAAGGCAACTGGACTTTCTTGTTTTTCTTTGAAGACATTTCGCTTGTCATCCAAGAAGCTTTTTCAGTTCTGACTTTCAGCTCTATTTCTTTAGCCCAGCATTTTCTCAAGTCAGTTTCCCAGCCTTCTTTTCAGAATACCAGAACAATATGTATCTTTGGGAGGACAAATGGCAGGATACCCAACAATACAGGTAGTTCTTGAATTACGACCGGAATTGGGTCCAGAATTTCCATTGCTAAGCAAGATGGTTAAGTGAATCACGCCTGATTTTATATCCATTTTTGCCATGGTTGTTAAACAAATCATTGCAGTTGTTAAGTGACTCCAGATTCCTCCATTGACTTTGCTTGTCAGAAGTCAGCTGGAAAGGTTGCAAATGGTGATCACAAGACCCTGGGATGCTGTAGCGGTTGTAAATACATGCCAATTGCGAAGTGCCCAAATTTTGGTCTAATAACAACAACAACAATAATAATAATAAAGTTGGAAGGGACCTTGGAGGTCATCTAATCCAACCCCCTGCTCAGGCAGGAAACCCTATACCATTTCAGACAAATGGCTGTCCAGTCTCTTCTTAAAAACGTCCAGTGTTGGAGCATTCACAGCTTCTGGAGGCAGGTTGTTCCACTGGTTAATTGTTCTAACTGTCAGGAACTTTCTCCTTAGTTTCAGGTTGCTTCTCTCCTTTGGTTAGTTTCCATCTGTTGCTTCTTGTCCTGCCTTCAGATGCTTTGGAGAATAGCTTGACTCCCTCTTCTTTGTGGCAGCCCCTGAGATACTGGAACATTGCTATTATGTCCCCCCTCGTCCTTCTCTTCATTAAACTAGACATACCCAATTCCAGCAACCCTTCCTTATATGTTTTAGCCTCCAGTCCCCTAATCATCTTTGTTGCTCTTCTCTGCACTCTTTCTATCTAGAGTCTCAACATCTTTTTTACATCGTGGTGACCAAAATTGGATGTACTATTCCAAGTGTGGCCTTACCAAGGCATTGTAAAGCGGTATTAATACTTCACGTGATCTTGATTCTATCCCCCTGTTAATGCAATCTAGCCCTGTGTTGGCCTTTTTGGCAGCTGCAGCTGTCAAACTATGGGGCTGCTGCAACAGGGCAAGTACCAGTCATAAGTCACATTTTTCAATGCCATTATAAATCAGTCGCCAAACAAATGGTTGTAAGTCGGGGACTGCCTGTATTCTATTTAATTTTCCATTCCCCCACATGGAAATACTATGGTCCCAAGTCAAATAAGTCAATTCAGATTTAAAAAAAATAATCCATGAAATTGCAAACCTAAAAACATTTCTAGGGAGTAAGCCTAACTGACTTCTGACAATACATGTTCCTTCTCTCACACTTGAAAACCTCTACATCAAATGTCAACTTTAGATGTGGATTGTTATTATTCGGATAACTATATTTTAAATTCCATTAATATCACCTCTTGAGTCAATTTCTTTCACTTAGATCATAATTGCAAGCAAAATGCTGGCTAAAAGTAAATAATGATTGATGTAGTACATATAGATCCTAGCTGGAAACACTTTTAACCACATTCTATACATAAATACTTTTGCCCTTTCAGTTCAGACTCTGGAAATTAATCTAGTTCTAAACCTTTGCATTCAAAAATCCTTCCTATTTTAAGTTCTGATTGAGTAGAGTCTATGACAAAGCACCATCTGCCTGAACATCCTATTAAAGCATGTGAGCATATCATGATTTAAAATAATTGGTCAGCCTTCTGAAGCATGGCTGAAGAGCAAGATTAAAAACTAGAAGTTATGCTGCTGTGAAAGTGCAAAATTGGAAGGAGACTTGTATCCCCTAAATGAGGAATCTTTTTTATTTTTCTAGGGAATGTAGTCGGATCTTTGGTGAAGATGGCTTGACGCTGAAGCTCTTTCTTAAAAGAACCGCTCCCTTTTCTATTTTGTGGACTTTAACTAACTACCTGTACCTGTTGGCTCTGAAGAAGCTGACCGCCACAGACGTCTCAGCCCTGTTCTGTTGTAACAAAGCCTTCGTCTTCCTGCTCTCCTGGATTGTCCTGAAAGACAGGTTCATGGGTGTCAGGGTAATGGCCTAGACAGCTTTTCTTAATGATGGTTTCCACTGCCCATAATTTACTTTGGAGTACTAGGACCACTATTATGTTCCAAAGAACGCATGTCAAGTGTATCCATATTTTGTGAAGTGTCCAGTGAGTACTACAAATGGGAGGGGATTATTGGATTAGCAGAAATGGTTTCGGGCAATGAAGAATTTGGAAGTGGCTACAAGGTTCTCTGAGTTCATGTCCAGCAATGGCACTATGAGGTTACCTTTTCATATATGACTGTTTCTTAGTTTTCTGTTCTTTTGAATGCTGCCCTCAGATGGCGATAGTGAAAAACAGCCACAAGCAATTAATCCATTAAGAATTAATGCATAATTTCATATGGTGTCTTACTTTGGAATGCATGTGGGAGACATTATTATAGAAGAATTACGGGAAACATTAAGACTCATATAATCTCATATTCTTATTATTTGCCAATATAATAGGAGGATGCAGAATAACAGTGCTTAATTTTATTATTTTTAATTTTGCTCCAAATTTAGAAACGGATTTTCAGTTTGCATTCCCAAACATAGTGTTTCACTTTTCCCATAAGAGCAGCAATCCCATTCACTTATCTGAAACAAAGAAAAGAGTGGATTTGCAATATGGTTCTGGTGGGAAATAGATTAGTTCTTTGCTTCTAATCTCAGAGACAAGGCAAACTGTGGCCTCTTTCATCTGCATCCCAGATGTCTGTCTGTTTCTTTAGTTCCATTGAATTGAATGAAAGTGATTAAGAATGGCAGCATATTCTTTTCTTTGTTTATAAAGTCCATTTTGGTTTCTACCACCGTGTGACAGAATTTAGGTAGCTGGCTTCACCACAATCTGGAGAAATAGTTGGAATTTTAAACTAAGTTCTCCTTTTAAAATATTTTTTTATAGCTAACTAATGGCTATGAACATACCTACTATTCCTTGCTCCTCTTATTTTCTCCACCGCAACAACTTTATGAGGTGGGTTGGGCTGAGAGTGACTGGCCCAAAGTCACCTAGCTGGCTTTCATGCCTAAGGTGGAATTAGAACCCACACTCTCCTGGTTTCTAGCCTGTTGCCTTAACCACTAGATCAGGGTTCCTCAACCTTGGCAACTTTAAGACTTGTGGACTTCAACTCCCAGAATTCCTCAGCCAGCAAAGCTTTGCTGGCTCAGGAATTCTGGGAGTTGAAGTCCACAAGTCTTAAAGTTGCCAAGATTGAGGACCCCTGCACTAGATAAAACTGGCTCTTTCTAGTGAGAAGGACTTTCTATCTTTAACTGGCAAACAAGAGCATTATAAATAATGAGAATTGGTACTCAAGGTTACTATATTAAGAATGTCAGGATGGGTGAGAGGGAAAGACTAGTCTCTTGTCCACTAAGTTCACTTGAAGGAAGTGTACTTTCCCTCTGCAGATTCTCTTCAGCTGAATTCTCCAGTAGAAATTAAAATAAAGGTGCATTTTAAAGAAGACTTGGCAGAAAGGGCTGAGGGGAAATTAATGTTGGTGAGTGGAATGTTTTGGGTGGGAAGATGGGCATATAAGTCGCTTTCTACGATAAAACAACTAAATGAAATAATATGTGCAAGCCAAATCAAGAATTACACTACTATAAATGCTTACTGATATCAGGAAAGCCTTGGGTGGCAGGGCTCATATTTCATTGAGAAAAGGCTGTTCTTTAAATCTGCCAGATATAATTGAGGTTGCAGACCTATAAGAGGATCATCTTCTTGCTTTCCAAAGTACAGCATGAAAATATAATACTCACTTTTGGGGAGTCCTATCCAACATTCTCTTTAAGCACCGTAATACATATTAAAAGTCAGCAGTTAGTCATTTTTTGTTGATCTCAAAAGCTAAGGCAGGCTGGCCCTGGTTATTATATGGGAATTCCAGAGCTATTTTCTAGACTGGGAAATCAGTTGGAAACCATTTTGGTGTAGTTGAATTTAGGTTCAGGGCATCTTTACTTTCAGTATCTGAATACAAAGCGGCTGTTGCCAATTGTATTCATCTTGTCTGCATGGACCATCATTTTAGCTCCAATTTTTTCTAGCACTATTTCAGTAATTGAATCATATCAAGTAGTAATATCCAGTGGAATGGGGAAAAAATTCTAACAATATCCAAATCAGTGCCAAAGCAAATCTTTGATTGAGGTTATTGATTAAAACAAAACAGGATCGGTCCTCTCCAAATATTTGTTGTGTTGTGTTGGTATCAGTAGAATTTGTTTGTGATTGGGCTATTATATAATTCTCTAGTAATCCATTTATTTTTTTGGAGGCAGCCTCTGATCAAATTGACAGAAGGCCTTTTGCATTGGTGGGCATTCTCAGTTAAAGGCTAAGAATCTAATCTTGACAACTTTAGTATTTAGTCAATGGATCCCCAGGGCTAACTGAATTTTACCATTTTATCTGGGTACACCTGGGCTGAGCTAAGATTTTTCATATGCAAAGCAAAAGCTCTGAGCTATGATCTTCCTGGCAGGCTGAGGCACTTAAAGTTAGCTACTCACTTTCTCAGACTTCTCCCGTCTCAAAGCTCCTGGTTAGCGATTTGAGTACACAGTAGTCCCAAATAGATCCATATAGGACTGATGATCTCTCTTGGACATTGTTCAGAATTAGACCTATAATCGTTAATAAGAGAGCCATTTTGATCTAGTGGATAAGGTACCAGGCTAGAAAGCAAGAGACTGTGAGTTCAAGTCCTACTTTAGCCATGAAAGCCAGCTTGGTGACCTCGGGACATCACTGTCTTCTCAGCCCAACTCACCTCACAGGATGGTTGTTGTTATGAGGAAAATAGGAGGAGAAAGGTGTGTTCAATAGGTTTGCCACCTTGAATTGTTTGTGAAAATAATAAAGGTGGGATATGAATGAATGAATGAATGAATGTGTATCTACATTACTTCCATTAGTTGATTTCTAGGCAATTAGGGACAGACAAGGTAGACAGTTTGGTATAGTGGTTAAGGCTACAGTTTGTAGCCACTGGGCTACAAACCTCACCTTACACATGAACCCAGGTGGGAGACTTTGGGCCAGATACTTTCTCTCAGTCCTAACAAGGAAACAACGGAAAACCACTTCTGAAAAATCTTGCCAAGAAAACTGCAGGAATTAACCCTGGCAGTCGACAGAAGTCAACAATTACTCAAGCACACACAAAAAGGGGGAGGTGCTTAGGTGTGTATGTGCAAAGTATCAATTCAATAAACAAAAAAAGGCCCCACATTTGGAAACAAGTATTATGGACACACTTTACTATGTTTTTTAGTGAATGGAGCAGCTCCTAAGGCCAATAAATAAATGCACCCACATTCTCAAAGTGAGAAAGTCCCCCCCCTCAACTTCCTCACATGTAGAAGCAACTGAAGAGGTAATTTTCTATATGAAGACAGCCCATGCCTCCACTACTGTTTTGTGTAGTGCATATCACAATGAATTATAAACCAAGGGCAGTATTGCCATGTTCAGGAAAGTGCCTACAAGTTGTACTCAGAGGACTTTCCAAAATAAACCTGCCAATTTGTTCAATGGATCTCCATCTGGAAACTAGCTAGGTGGGGAATTGTAAACTAGCATTGAGCCCAAAATTCTTACACAAGAGTGTGTAACTTGACATTGAAAGTAACATGCTTTGCATTCCCCAAAGGTGAAGCATTTGTAGGGCACAAAAGTGCTTCAAGGTTCACAGAACATAATTTACCAGGATGGTGACAGTAGCAGCAGGAATTTTTAAATTGAAAACAACAGCTTAAATTTGTTGGGCTCCACTGAAATGAGTTATTTCTGCCTCTTTAGTTCCATTTCTTAATCCACCTGACATGTAGCAGCTTTCAAGAACTTGCTACATCTTTCTCACTTGCTCTTTAGGTGTGACACTCTGTGGTTTGGATTATTAACATAATCTATTCCGTGTTTTGTTATGAGGGCAATCTGCTTGTGGAAGAAGAAAGTCAAACACAAGGACCTGCTTTTATTACAGTCCCATCATTCTTTATCAGAATTCAAGAAAATATGTTCCTTCTGCATATGAAATACGTTCCTTCAGCTCATAGTGCAAACCTTACATTTCCGTATCCCCTTCATCTAATTCATAGGAGTGTTCATTAAAGAGCAAAGTAACTTGGACAAGCTTGACTTGGTTTCATCAGTGGATTGATCAACAAAACCTGCAGTTAATTAATTAGTAGAGGCAAGTTCTAATTTGAAGTATAAATTTTAATAACTGGTGCTGGGAGGTAAAATACATAGCGGGTTTTAAAGATTATTTTAGCGCTGGTGTATTACTGTAATAAGGATCATTTGTGTGCAAGTATCTAAAGCTAGATCTTTCTTTTGAAGACTGAAAGTAATATTAGCTTGCCAATTTATAAGCTGTTTCATACATCCTTCAGTATTTCCAAAATGTCGTCTATTGTATAAAATACAAAGGTTTTTATCAAGTCGAAAAATGATTTAAGAGTGTTTTATAGTTTGATAGATAAATTACAGGTAAATAGCACTAACAGCTCTAATATCTGCATTCCCAAACATTTCCTAGGTGATATGATCCCTGTTTGACATAAAATTGGTGTATTAAAGTCTTACTTTTGAGATTACAGAAGCATTGCATTAGATAGTATGCAGCAAAACTTTCTAAATAGAAACTGGGATAAAATAGAGAGGGAGGGAGGGAGGGAGAGAGAGAGGGGGGGTTGGATAAAGGTGGCAGTGAGGTTTTCTAGAGATTTTTAAAAAACCTTCCTTATGATTTTTCCCCCCTGTGGATTTCTATGAGAAATAAAATGATGACAGGTAGCAGGAGCTGGGATCAGTATAGGGAAGTAGAGACAGGCTGCCGTTTCAGCTCTCTGCAGTAGCTTATCCAAGTTTTGTTTTAAAGATCATTGCCATCACTATTGGGTTTAATTGAGTGTGAGCCTTTGAATTATTGACACAGAAGCCCTATTATATTGAATTTGATTCACTGGTCAGCACTCTTTGGGTGAATTCACAGAATATATTGAATTCTAAAACTGGGTTAATAGAACACATAGAATATGCTATGTCTAAGAAACACATAACATGCTCAGTTTGTAATTCGGTCCTCATTACATACTGAACTACTATACAATACAAACTACCCAACTTCATTTTAGCATGCTCTAGTATGCTGTATGATCCCAGCGTGATATAAACTCATTGGGTTGGGGAAGTAGAACTGGCTGTGGAGTCCTTGGTGCTCTCTGAGTTTAGTTATTTGCTTGCAGATATTGATTACCCAACTGGTAACATCTCCAATGGCACAATTAGCTGAAGTTTGGTCACTCATATACTATTAAATTGTGGTTTCATGCATGCTTCCTCAACCTGAACATTTCATCAGATGGCAAATCCCAGAATTCTCAGCCCGCACAGATAATGGCTCTGCCTGTTCAGAATTCTAGGAGTGTTTTTCAACCTTAGCAGCTTTAAGATGTGTGGACTTCAAGTCCCAGAATTCCCCAGCCAGCAGTGATGGCTGGGGAATTCTGGGAGTTGAAGTCCATACATCCTAAAGTTGCCAAGGTTGAGAAAGACTGTCCCAAAATATTGGGAAAACTCATTTAACATAGCATTGGAACCATTGGAATTCGGTACTTTTTTCAGTCTGTTTGTACTCACCATGGGAAATGAGCTGAAGTTTATTCCACTGTTGCTTTTTGCTGATGAATGAACCCTGTCTTTATGTTTTTGACTCTTACTCCCTAGAGCTATAATTTCTCTGACTACACAACAGTGACCAAGCAAACTTTATGGCTGTCAACCTGTGAAACAAACTAATCTGTTCTTGAAGCAATTCTGCCTGAATGGGCTTCAGTCTAAAGTAATCTAAGAAATAATCCTTTCGATTTTCAAGAAAAGAGAACAAGGTTGCTGTATCTCTGGGAAATACATAACCTGTATGACTGTTATAGTGTTATGTTGTCATTCCATGTCCCCAAGTCATTTTAATCTCTCTCACACACAACACTCATCTCATCATGGTTCTTTCCAGATAATAAAGTCCTTCTACATGTCTTTCCTTTTGGATTGCACAGATAGTTGCCGCAATAATGGCCATCACTGGAATTGTTATGATGGCCTATGCAGATGGTTTCCATGGCGATTCAATTATTGGGGTTGCCTATGCAGTTGGATCTGCCTCGACCTCTGCGCTATATAAGGTAGGTCATTTTCTTACCATTTAATCCTTTTTAAATGCATGCATAGAAAAACAAAGCAAGATGGGTTTAAAACAATGCTCATGGTTGCTTAATTCACATTCTGAGCAATGTGCACTGGAAGAAAGTTAAAGCCAGATAATTACGTGGTGGCCTCCAAGGATTCAGCTTGGCTTCCCTTTATCAAGTCTTAATGAAATCTCCATTATTCCACAACAGCAAAATTAGCAATCATGAGTTTCCTCTTATTTTATGTGCCAGTGTTTTATGAAATTCAACTGTGACACACAAGCAGAAGAAAATATTGAAAGCTAAGGACGCTATTTTCAATGAAAGGGGGGAGTGTTCAGGAGTGATCTCTCTGCTGAGATTCCCCAGGAGATCTTGGGATTTCTTAATGATTCTATGTCTTACTAATCTATCCAATTACTTTTTAGTATAAATCAGAACTCTTTCTTCTAAAATAAAGGTGAGTTAACTCAGCCTGTAGGAGGTCAGCTCAATTCTTGTGCTCCTCAGAAATTTATTTGATTTCAGGATATAACTGTCCAAAATTGACATCATAGTTTTTTGCCATTTCAAGCCAGTGCACACACAAAACTTGAATTATAAACTCTAAAATTGCCCTCTTAAAAAGAAGGAAAAAATGCCCTTCACCAAATGAAAATTCATGATGTAGTCCCAACTGTTTTACAATCATGGCCTAAATAGTAAAAAATAATTTCCATGCTGCTTTTTTACTAGGTTGTACTAATTGATTTATTGTAGATTTTAAAATTGTAAATAAAAAGAAAATGCATACCCAGTCAATTCATTGAAAGCAAATATATACCTGTATCCTAATCAAAGAACTACCCAGTAGAAAACCACACACCCATAAACACTGGCAGGGCAAGCTACTGTATATAAATAGAAAGCAAACCCCACACCCTTTTAGCACTAGTACCTAGTCTGGTAATGAAATATCCGCAAATGACCAAGCTCAGAGAATACCAAGGACTCCATAGTCCTGCCACAATCTTATTACCATTTGAAAATGCAGAAGGCTTTTCAGAGGCAGCTCATGAAAAGCACTCTGCAGTAAGCAGTCATTGAGATTAGCAAGCTATAAATAATAGTTGCCAAAATCCTGCATGTGTGTCCCTTTTGAATACAGCTCAGAGTGCTGTAATACACAAAATCAAACCTTCAGCCCTCTTAGAGATGGAAGGATATAGATATAAATAATACAGCAGCATTTCTTGATCACATTTCAATAGGCTCATTGCCAACTTAATAAACTGCATAAGAGACGCTCTTGGCTGTTGCCATCCCTGAGGCCCATGCTAGATGCTATATATAAGCACATTTAATTGATATACTAAAGATTTAATTACCCCAGTGACCAGTTATGATGAGAACAACTCATTTCAAGTTGAGGTGGTTGGAGAAAACATTGTTTTGGCATTGTTATGTGCATGTCACATAATTCTTTAGCAGACCCTTTCTGGGTTTTCAAGGTGGATTGAACTACATCTTCAATAACTCCAAGCTGGCAAAGTCTTTGGTACCAGGTTGGAGATGATAAAAGTAATTCAATTACTTTCATCTTGTCTTTGTCTCAGGCAAGTGATCTGTGAGCCCTGGATTTCAGTATGACATAACCTAAACACACATGTGCATGATATTAATGAGCTTCACATAATACCATTGTACATTCCTGCTACAAATCCTGAGAACTGAATGGAACAAATTGTCCAATCTTCTTACAGAATATGCAGGTGTTTTGACAAACTTTTTTTTTTTGCTACATGGGATCTTACTATTTGACCCATTCATGTATCACTCCTTTTATTTTTTCCTCTGTTGAAGAAAGATTTTAAAAATTGCATTGGGATATGTGGTTTTCCTTTGAGGCTTCTCATTGTGTAATAAAGAGCCCTTTTCTTAACCCCCTAAGAGCCAGTGATTCATCACTGTGGAAACAGTGAGAAAGTGTAGGGCCAAAGATGAATCTGAAGATCAGTCTTTGTAAATCCAGCTCATCCAGAGCTACACAGAAAATGGATAGCTGAACCTAGACTTTCCAACAATGGATCCCTGCCATATAGTTTCACTGAGAGCATTTCTGCATTTCTGTTGAAAAAGCTTCTTGGATGAGAAGTGAAACATCTTCAAAGAAGAACAAGAAAGTCCAGTTGCTTCTTGAAAAAGCACCTTTGGGACAATTATGACCTGGATGACTGAGAACCTCCATAGACACCTCATGGTATTTTCAATTGTTCTCCTTTCTTCTTTTTAGGTTTTGTTTAAGATGTTTCTTGGAACTGCCAACTTCGGTGAAGCTGCTCACTTCATCTCTACCCTTGGCTTCTTCAACTTGATTTTCCTTTCCATCACTCCCATCATTTTGTACTTTACAAAAGTGGAATACTGGTCACCTTTTTCAGCTGTGCCGTGGGGCTTTCTGTGTGGAATTGCAGGCCTCTGGTTGGGTACGTGTCTGAGCAAATGTTTCAGTATCCCAGTGCTTCTTTCAACTTTATTTGCAGTAGAATCTTTGGATGATTTTAATTTACTCTTTGCCAGTTTATAAGAAAATCTGGCCTTTTCATTAAATGCAACTACATACATTTCTGGATTTCTTTTCAAATAGGAGAGAATTTTAGAGGAGAAAAATTATCATCATCATCATCATCATCATCAATCAAATTTATTTACTGCCCATCTCATGATTCAAGAAGCCTCTGAGCGGCTTATAGCAAAATAAAAAAGACAAACATCTGACATTACACACACACACACACACACACACACACACACACAGAGATGAAAATTAGAAAAATTAAAACAAATTAAAAAACAAGGGTTTGGAGGGGAGAGGTGGGGTGCCTTCTATGTTAGTGCATCAACCACCTTCAATCAACAATTTCTCCTGTTTAGTACTAAAATGCCATTTTTTTACTTAGAGGTTACAAATTCAGTAGTATTATATACTGTAATTCAGTATTTCTTAATACACAACACACACACACACACACTCACACAGGTACATACATACACCTGAAGATCAAATGCTGGGTACTACAAAAAGAGGATGGTTTGGATAAATTTATTGGGATTTAAATTTCAACCTTGCATGTTGAGATCTAATTATTGTGCAAGAGATGTCTTCACTTTCTCCTTTTCTTTTTTCTTTCATAGCTTTCAACATTTTGGTGAATGTTGGTGTTGTCCTTACATATCCAATCTTAATATCGATTGGAACAGTACTCAGTGTTCCTGGCAACGCAGGTACAAATGATGGATTGCAATGTTTTTTTAAAAAATGTATACTGATAAATGCATTTATTAGTTCCTTCTGCAGTGCTTGAATAGAACTCCAGTACTTCTTCAGAGGAAACACTAGATTCTTCATAATTTTTTTCCCCCAAGGAATAGCACAGAGAAAGGATTGCCATCCTGGTGCAAAAGGAATCTAGATTAATCAGGACAAGCAGAGAACATTCTGAGAGATGCTGAGAGTGGATTTAATTAGATATACACTTCTTCAGAACATATGCAAATTCTAGTGGAGATAGAAACCAAGCTTTAACTAATTATTCTCAAGCACTACATAAAACTCATGTGGCTGTTTGCTTCTTTGACTTTGATCTATGGCCCATTAGCCTCTAAAATTCTTGGAAGATGTAACAGCCGAGTCTTGTCAACTGGCTGAGAGGTGTTTTTGCCTGTTCCTTAGCCAAACTGATTTTCATAGCCTGCTTAGCTATTTAACTGCCTCCTGATCTTCATAGGTTGGAACTCCAAGAAATCACAATACCCATGAATGTTCCACAGTGGTCATCTGGTGGGAAGAAGAGATTTCTGTAAGACAGGCAGACTTTTATCCTAACTCTAACTAGTAATTCCTGGACACTCCATATTCTATCCTGTCATATTCTATCACTGCTGTGATTTCAGGTGAACAAAATTGATGGTATCAGTGTGTCCTATACTGCAGATCCAGTGTGAGAGAATGAAAAGGGTTGTTTTAACAAACTGGATTAGGGACCCGCAAGTCAGTCAAAGATTCTTCTGCTGAGTTCCAATTCTTGGGGAAACTGTTACATTCAGGGAGGGCAGCCATGCAGTCTGTTTTTCTTCTGACTGATGGTGGCCAGCAAAAATAATGGACACCGTCCAACAATAACCTAACTAGATTGGAAATTTTTGAACCCAGATTCTGAAAAATTATTCAAATGGTCACCCCTTTTGTCTTCCTTCCCCATAATTGAGATGACAAATGAAGGAAGGATAGTTTGATTCAGTCTCTCTTCATTTTTTTTTCCTGCAGCTGTTGATCTCCTCAAACGTGAGGTGATTTTTAGTGTCGTCAGATTGGGAGCCACCATCTTCATTTGCCTTGGGTTCCTGCTAATGCTTCTTCCTGAGGAATGGGATGAAATTACACTGAGATTCATTAACAACTTAAAAGAGAAGAAAAGTGAAGAGCATGCCGAAGACATTGCTGATTCAAACATTCACTTCAGGAGCAGGAGTAGAGCTAATGGGACGGTGTCTATACCGCTGGCTTAGAGCTGGTGACTTCTTGATTGCACGACCATGTATATTCTGTGAATATGATTTAATAACTTTTTTCTCACTCACCTGCACACTAAAAAGGACAGTGATAATGTTAAAACCAGGGATGGATTATAAATTTAATGCTCAACACATTGATATGTAAATGGTTTACATTTGTACACTTGTCCAGCAGTAGGTGAAAATAACCACAATAAATTTCTTTTTTTAAAAAAAAAGAAAAGATCAAAACAAAACAAAATGTTTTTTTTTGTACTTTATAGGAGAATTCGCAGAAAAAAAAATCTTTAAATCAAAGCCACAACTCAATATGAGAATTAGGCAGATAGATATTGAAGGGTGGCAATAGCTTCATTATGCTTATTCACGGGTGATTCAGTCATTGAGTCTATGAAGATGCCCTCTGGGATATCATGTGCTGAGTTGTGTGTAGTTCGTGCAGATGCCATAGCAGGTTTATCCAGCCTATTCCCCTCCAGCATTTTTGGAAGATGCAATCACAACAGATCTAAATGGGTGTAAAGTTGGGAAAGGCTGAGCTGGGAATGTACAAGATCCAAATCTGTAAAGTTGGGAAAGGCTGAGCTGGGAATGTACAAGATCCAAATCTTCGCTTTTCCAGTTCTGGTTGCCTCATTCTGCTACAATCACAAACACTCCGGCTTTGCCCAATTACTAGCCATAGATGTTTGCAGGGAGGGTCAAGTGCAAAATGTGTGTTGTAATATCATTTGGCTTTTGTTTTGTCATTAAGGTTAGTAGCAGATGTTTGTGTGACCAATTAAGCTATAAAGCCAAGTTTCAGACACTGCAATTTTGACACATGCACAGACACACCTCAACACCAGCATATAGAAAGCTTGTGTCATGCTTTCTAGGTTATGCCATCCAAAATGAAATTGTTGCAATTTTGAGTCCTTAAAACCTAAGTTTCTTGTAACCTAGGTTTCCAGTTTCAAAAAAGCCAGCATGGCAGTTCTTTCATTTTTGGATGTCACATTCTAAGCCATAAAACTTATATAAAATACTGTGCACAATATAGAATGAAATGGCAATAAATTTGTTAACTAAATTTTAAAGGTTGGGGCAATGGCATTTTGAAATAAAAACATAAAAACAAATCTGGTCATCTTTAGATCTGTAAATAATTCTAGAATTGTGGAGTTAAAGGAGCTATTAGATAACTGAGGCTGACTCACTGCTCTGAGCTGGAATCCAAATTAAAGCATGGCCAATGGCTATTGAACCTCTGCTTAAACAAGAATACAGAAAATTCCACCATGTCTTTCAATCAGTTCTATTGTCAAATTGCTCTTAACTGCTTGGAAGTGTTATCTTTATTCAACTGGAATTTGCCTTCTTGTAGCTTAAAACCATCTTTCCAGGTTCTCTATTCTGGAATGATTAAAAAAACAGGTCATGGTTCTTTCTTGTAGCAGATACTTAAAGTACCCCCTTACTCATTATTTTTCAAGGTTAAAATACCTAATTCCCTCCATCTGTGCTTGTTTTCCAATCTTCTGTTCATCCTCATTGCTCTTTGCCAAATCTATTCTAGTTTGTCTGAATCCTTCTTAAGGCATAATATCCAGAAGTGATCATAGTATTCAAAGCAGGATTTAGCCAAGACAGAATAAACTGTCACTGTGATTTGAAACTGAGTTGATGCAGCCTAAAATTGCCTTTGTCAACTCATACTTCAGTACTATTTCACTCTTGAAACAATCCTTTTGTTATGGCCTTTTGCCAACTCCAGATATCATAGTCCTTCAATCGTTAATATGAATGGGTTTTTTTTTTTGTTACTTTCCTTCTACAGTACATCTGCCATGGCCTAATGTTTTATCCCAGGATTCCTATTAAATTAAAAATGCACATTTGATACAAATAATAATGATTTGGACCAGTCTCTGAAAACACTTGGAGTTGCACAATTATTGGGTTCAAGATCATCTGGACAAAGAAGAATGGGAAAAAAACTACTTCTAGCTCCTTAATGATGGGTTGCATTAAACATTCTCAAGTATTATAAGTTACTAATCCAGCCTAAATTGTGGAAACTCACTGGGTGACCTCTCAATTCAATTTGCAATGATGGCTGGGGAATTTTGGGAGTTGCAATTTACACAGCTTAAAGTTGCTAAGATTGAGAAACACTGATCTACCAATATGTACATGATGTCATGCACTCTGAAGATTCTCTTAATGCAGTGGTGGCGAACCTATGGCACGGGTGCCAGCGGTGGCATGCAGAGCCCTCTCTGTGGGCATGCACACCGTCGCCCCAGTCCTAGGCCTTCAGCTGGGTTTTATAAAACCTTTTCGCTTTAGGCCTCCTCCGCCATGTGCCAAAAAAAAAGGGTCAATCAATCAATCAATTTCAACTTCTCGCGGGAAAAAAAAGATCTTGCAAAGTTGGAATTGATTCATTGAACTTTTTAGTCCCACCCAGTCTGCCGTTACCACCGCAGCCACACCCAGCCAATGGGCCACGCCCAGCCAATGGGCCACACCCACCTGGCACCTGACGATGCATACGTGGGTTTTGGGTTGCAGTTTGGGCACTCGATCTCTAAAAGGTTCGCCATCACTGTCTTAATGTATTCATTTTGTGGGCTGCTAAAGGTTGTGCTGACAACATCACTAAATGGTCAGGGCTGCAAAAGGGGAGTGTTAGAATTTTGGGACAAGGAGCAAATTTTGTTTTGTTTTCATTTTTTTCCTTTTCCTTTTTTCTTTCTTTTAGGGCCAGTAGTGGTTAAGGCATCAGGCAAGAATTTGGGAGTCCTTGAATTCTAGTCCCACCTTAGGCACAAAGCCAGCTGGGTGATCTTGGGCCAGTCAGTTTCTTTCAGCCCTAGGAAAGAGGCAATGACAAACCTGTAAACCTTACCAAGAAAACTGCAGAGACTTGTCTAAGTCTCTAAGAACCAGACTTGATTGAACAGAAGGGGGAAAAAACTAAAGAAATACATAGATGCATCCTTTTCTTCTTTTTTCCCAAACAATTGGAAATCATACCTAATTTCTCAGTGGTTTATTGCTGTCACATGTTACAATTTCTTAGGCTCTGAAGGAATCCACAAAAATGGAGGTTGGGATGAAATGCAATCCTGGAAGTCAGGGCTTGTCTATTCCTGTGGCATTTTTGTGCACCAGAAGGAGCCTGCCAGTGTCTCCAGCAACCAGCTCTCAACTGCAGTTCTGGTTTCCATCTTAAAAAGCTGAGCTCAGAGAGAGGCTGATTTGCCCCATATGTGAGAAAAAAACCAGACAGCTTCTCTTGTGCAGGCAAAACCCAATCATCTAGAAGTGCAGAAATCTGCTAACTTAATTTTTGTTAGACAAAACTGCCTCTGGGCTCTAAGAATAGGAAGAGGAGAAAAAGAAAACGCACTTTGACAAACGAGGCAGCTGCGAGATTACATTCTTCCGCACGGAAGGGACGCTCTCAGCCTCTCCCTGAAAGCAAAACAAAACGTGTCGTGAATAATGCAAGCTGCAGAACTATCCCAGGACTTAATGCATTTCTGAAAAGGCAGGAAAGAAGCCATCACAACAGTAACTCTTTAGCATAGGAATGAACATGCAACCTTTTGCTGCTGTTGAAACAAATCTTCTCTTAAAGCACAGGATTGGTGAGTCTGAGCTTAAAATAAAAGACCCAAATGAAGTCTATGATGCCTCACAATGTACCTTCTAATCTCCCAAAACAACATTTACATCAGAGCTATTTTATCAGTTCCTTATCATGACACATCACGCGAGGTTGCTACAGTAGCATTCTTATAATCTGAAATGAACATTGAAGAAAGCAATCTCAATAGCTTGCAAAACCAATCGTTCATACATCTTTATTTGCTCACAGCACATTGTGCAACTCCATGCCCTAGTCCTCCAGGGGAGGCTGTGACAGGTAAGGAAAATTAGAATCCTGTAAATAAATCTGCTGCCTTATGTTCTTATACCTATCAGACAACCAACTGCTGAAATTCAAGATTGTGCCCTGTCTTGGATCACTTTCCAATTGCAACTTTTTAAATCTTCCCAGGTAGTCCTTGAATTAAAACCACAACTGGGACCAGAATTTCTATTGCAAGGCAAGGTGGTTGTTAATGATTCATACCCAATTTTATGACTTTTTGCCACAGTTATTAAACAAATCACTGCAGTTTTAAGTGAATCATACAGTTGTTAAGTCCATCCAGTTTCCCCCGTTTGCATTGCTTGTTGGAAGCTGGCTGGGAAGATCAGAAATTGCAGTCACATGATCTCAGGATGCTTCATCTTTTGTGGATACATGCTGATTGCCAAGCGCCCAAATGTTGATCATGTGATACTTGGGATGTTGTGACGATCATAAGTACAAGGACTGTACTTTTTTCAGTGCTGTTTTAACGTTGAACAGTCACTAAACAAACAGTTGTAAGTCAGGGATTACCTGTAATAATTAACTGCACATTTAAGTATATTTTGATAGTTGAAACAATCTATTATTATCTCTGATGATTCGTTTTTGTTGACAGAGAATGACTAAGAGCTCAGCAGGGAACCGCAAGGCTGAATAAGGGTTTGGACTTCAGTCCTAAATCCTCTTGCTTCCAGTCCAGCACTGATCACTGGTCACAAACCATGATCTGGTTTGCTAGTATATGAAAGGTACAATTATGGCTTATGTTGTATGTAAACCTAGCTATATGTGTTTGTTCAGCAAGCCACGATTAAATAAGCTATGGTTTAATGTTGTACACCCAAAAGGTGAACGCGAGGATTTCAGCATTTAAATGGCAAGGGCAGAGGGAAGGATGCACATATGGATCAGGAAGATGCTCTCTTCACTTCTATATCAACCCTACATAATCCAGCAGGACATAATTCAGAACAGATATAGGATCAAACATTCAGCCTTGTATTATCAATAATAAACCCGTATTTAGCTTGCTGCATTGTAGGAGGAGTTTGCTTATTTTTTCTGACAAATATTATTAAAATTCATATTATTATGAATCATGAAAGCCTTTTAATAAAATTTGTTACATAGTTGGAAAAGATTAACTTCCAGACTCTTTCTAATTTCAGACTGTAAAAAGAGCAATGTTTTATGAGCAATCCAGCAGCAAAAGAAAAGGCACTGCTTTTATGTCAAACACATTTGAGAGAAAATACTTAGTTCTTCACAATGAAACCCTTGAAAATAGAGATGTAAAGCTGAGTATTTTAACCTCCCGCACACTGCTCAAAAACACACTGAAAGCTCCTGATTTTATGGCAAAAACATTCAATTTTGGAGCCCAGCACACTGTGAAAGGACTAGGGGGGTCATAGTCTTTTCTTCTCCCTTTTCCCACCTCCAAGAATCCCCCCCTTTTGCCCCCACTCCCCAGCAATAATCTCCATTCAATCAGGAAAGGAGAGTTATCCACACAGTCACTGCTTTGCAGTATAACTATGAAGTCGATGAAGTGTGAAGAGCTTTTATGTGGGTGAGTAACCTATATTGGGGAAAGTCAGTCGGAGTGATGCAGTTCATTCTTGCTCTTTGCAGAAGGACTAAAGTGATCACTCCTGGCCCTCCCTAACCATCAGCACCGGAACCATGGGGGAGTAGCAAAAATGCCAAAGAAACAGTCCATCCAATGCAGATTTATGATGGTGACAGGGGCCGATGGAACAGAGGAAGCATCCTGAGTCCAGAACTGACCATTTGTCCATTTAGTTCATAGGCAAGGCCTCTCTAATGTAACTCCCTTGGTGCCCACCAAACTCCCTGTGCAATCTGACTCCTGAAAAGATTTAACCTTTTGTCTTGGAAAATGATAGTACCGCTCTATGGAAGCGACAATACCACCCTATATTGTGCTAGCGAGGCCACATCTGAATATTGCCTCTAGTTCTAGTCACAATAAAAAAAAGATGCTGGTCACAATAAAAAAAATGACAAAAATAATAAGGGGTCTGGAGGCTAAATTGTGCGATGAATGGCTAGGGGAACTAGGTAAGCAGTGGGGCGGGGCGGGGAAGTGAGTAAAGGGGCTGAAAGCGTTTTTGGCTAGAGTTATTTATGTTCCTCTTTCCCCCCCCTCCCCCGCCACCCACTGCAATGTATGTTCAGCCTAATGGAGAGAAGGCTCAGAGGAGACATGATAGTAGGCTGTCACAGGGAAGAGGGTGTCAATTTATTCTCCATAGCACCTGAGGGCAGAACAAGAAGCAATGGGTGGAAGCTCATGAGAGGGAAATTCAACCTGGAAATAAGTCAGAATTTCCTGACTGTGAGAACAATTAGTCAATGGAACAGCTCGCTGGAGGTTTTCAAGAAAAGATTGAACAACCATTTGTGGGAAGTCAGCCCCCCAGAGAAGGAAATATTAAAAGGGCAGAAAAATGTATTTCCTCAAAAGGATTTTAAAAGCAGAAACCAACCCTGCCCCCAAGTCTCTCTGTCCCAAGCAGAAGCCAGCTCTGTACAAATGCAGATGCAAACCATCAGGAAAGTTGGAGCTAGAAGCTTAGGAAGACAAAGACACCTAAAATCTGCATACCCCACCCAAACTCTAGGAGTCATTAGCACCAGGGAAGCAGGACATAACCCTTGGGACATAATAGGATTAACCCACCACCATCAAGAATACCAGAAAGGCACATCCAGACTCAGGTCAGAATACGTGACACAGGAAATACAAAGCCTGAAACAGGAACAGGAAACTACTTCAAACAAAAGGCTCAGAGAGGGTATAAAAACCTACTACCCACATGTGCTCAGCCCTTTTTCTCTCCTCTTTCCTGCCAGAACCATCTTGCTGGCTCTCCTCTCCAATAAACTGCAACCTTCTTTCTAAAGTAGTCGCCATGTTGTTTATCCCTGGCTTGGATGAATCATGATGAAGACTTTTCTTTCAACACATTTGTCTGGGATGGTATAAATGGTCCTGTTTTGGGCAGGGGGATTTGGACTAGAAGACCTCCAAGGTCCTTTCCAGCCCTATGATTCTATGATTCCTTAAGAATAAAAAAATACTTAAAGAGAAAACTGGCATATGTAAAACTATGCATCAGACATGAGTACCTCTTCTTTAGGAATGCCACAGACTTCACAAAGATTCTTTGGGTTAATAGAGATTTGGAGTTCATTCATATTTAATAAATAGGTGCTTTGTAAAGAATCAGTTCATCAAGGCAGGGTCTTTATGAATGGACCCATCACATTTGCTCATAATTCAAAAGAGGTCCCCAACTGAAAAAGGATACCTGTTCTCAATCTAATGCAAAACTTGGGATGTGCTACCTATTTTATTTTTTGTTTAGCCCCGGGGAAAAGCAAAGGATGATGTGTTCTGGCCCACGTTTTTGAAAGATAAATGGCTTCTTCAATTTAATTTTAGCCAACATGAAAGTTGGGTAACTTGGGGTCACATATGCTCCACAATTCTATTTTTGCAGCCCCCGGAACAAACCCAGATTATACCAATTAAATTCAGTGGCAACCAATGATTTTCAGCTGTGTGATTTTTCATGTTTTGGGAACAAAGTAAGAACATCAAGACTCTATGAGGCTTGGCAAACTTTGCAGATCATTTAATACCTGGTGGAAAGCTGGCACAAGACCCAGAATTAGTAGATTTAGGCTTGAAACAGCAAGGTGCTTCAAATGTTCTGCAGCTGAAGTGCATCGTCCCAGACAGATTTCTAACTCATAGGATTTGGTTTTTAGTTTCACTAGAATCAAAAGAATCTATGTACCAGAACCCAGGGCAAAACGTGCCATTTTGAGCTCAGTAAGGAGTGCTGTTAGTATCCTGTAACATGGGGATTACAGCTCTAATTGCCCAAGACACCTCTGTTAAGGCAGTAGTGCCATGATTTTCCTGCCAGAGTTCCTGAGTGACTGAAATGGCGATGCACCTTTCCTGCTTCAAGAACGCTGAGATTACAAAGCAGCAGAAACAGTCAGGCATCAGCAAGCTATATAAACAGGGAGCAAAACCCCACCTCCCCCAGCTCTGATGATGTTATCTAATTATGTAATGAAACATCTGCAAGTAAACAGCCAAACTCAGAGAACACCAAGGATTTCACTGTTCAGTCTTGAGCTACAGTCTTGAGCTACAGATATTGTCTTCTATTGAAACAGTAAGCAAGATCAAGAGGCACACATTCCCAATTCATGGTAAGCATGATCAAAGGGCACTCCAGTAGTCAAGGGAGAAGTGAACCATCAAGCAGTATAAAGATCCAAGGCTGACATGTGAACCCAGACCATCAAGAGGAAGAGGCCTAGCAATGTAGAAAGAAGTGAGGGACATGGGTGGTTTTAAAATTTGATAATGAATCTATATAAATAAAAATGTAAATGTTCGTTTGTTCAAAATCTTAAATCTCCGAAAGTTCTTCACTGATTGCTTTGAAATTTTGACACAATGTTGCATTCGAATACGCGCATGTTTTTATATACCTACTATTATATAGATGTCACACCTGTGACAGGTAAAAACATGCTTTTTTTGAAAAACAGTGCCATCTGTTGGCTGAGCAACGTGTGGCCGGGTACAGCTAGTAAATATATAAAATTTGATAATGAATAAATATAGTCACTTGACATAAGACCTTGACATATTTTGTGTTAGCTATTAGAATCTGAAACAAAACTCTTGAAAGTTCCCAATTCTAATCACAATGTTTCTCAACCTTGGCAACTTTAAGATGTGTGGACTTCAGCTCCCAGAATTCTTCAGCCAGCATTAGAAGGTGTAACTGGAAATGTTGGCTGGGGAATTCTGGTATTTAACATTCATACATTTTAAAGTTGCTAAGGATTGAGAAACACCACACCAGAGCATCTATAAAGCAACTCTCCTTTTGAGTAAGACCGTACTTCTAAAGTCTTTTCCAAGAAAGCCTGTTTCCAAGGTACACTATGTATGTACTATTTGGATTTCTCATTTTTAAAGTGTGGAAACTAACTACAGCATTCCAGGTAGAAGGGGCGTGGTAGAAGTAACCACCGTATCAGACTGTTTAGGATTAACTATTCCTTGGTGAAAAGAAAGAAGGGTATGTTCTCAAATTCCTATTCTGTAATTTTTTTACACTGGATTCCCAGAACGCTTGGGGCTAATTTAATATTCAGGTTGAGTAAGCCAGATACCCATTCTTTCCTTTGAGGAAGGTCCCAGACCAGGTCAATGTTTAACTGGACTCACCAAGTATGGTAATGGGAAAAGTTTATAAAGGAGTTTCCATAGCAACACATGGCCTTTGGCTCTTGATAAATGTGTGTTTTGGCACATGCGCACATGCTTATGGATATATTCTGAAAGCAAAATACCCTTGGAGAACTATATTATAGTTACGTCGGGAATCCAGATTCATCTCAAGAAGCTACTAAATAAATCAACAAGACAGAATACCAAAGCTGGTGTCTCCTCTTCTATGCATCTGTCTTCCAAAGAAATACCTTGAACTTCATTTTGTGCTTTATCTTTCTCCTGATTTAAAGCAAAGCCCTTGAGAACTGATGCCTGCATAACAAAATGTTCTCCAGCTTTGAGGTTGGTCTTTCTCAGTGCTACCCCATAATGAGGACTGCATTGTATTATTTTTGAGGCTGGGAATGAGGTGTCTGTCTCTCTCTCTTTCTTTAATAACTTTAACAACTCCAAGACTGGGCTTCATCTTTCTTCCTTCTTTCTCTTGTGGTGGAAAGCAGCTCACCTGAACTCTGAAACATGGGCTTGAATTCATCCAAGACCCATAGGAAGGTCACCAAAGTGACACCAATGCCATGCAAAGAAAGAGAACCACAACAGCCTGGTAGTGTGACAGTTTATTCGTTCCAGTCCCCGCCAAGCTCATTTGTTTCCTCATCAGGGAGAAATCCAGTTCTGGAAAGACAACTTCCACCTTTGCGGGAGACATGCTATGGAAGATATCCCACAGGTAACCTAACATTTTCTTTTATCTTTTAAAAATAGAACATGGTCGACAACTTAAAAAAAAATCACTAACTTTCAGGCCCTCTTTATCTTTTTTCCTCTCCTCCCCCATATCTAAAATGTGATGTGATACATTTGGAATTGAAAGTAGGAATTGAAAAATTTGAAGAAGTTTGGATTGTAGTGTTACTTTTTACCTTCTTTGTTCCAGCTAGCATTAGCATATACCAGTGATGACGAACCTTTTAGGGACCAAGTGCCCAAACTGCAACTCAAAACCCACTTATGCATCATTGGGTGCCGGGTGAGTGTGGCCCATTAGCTGGGTGTGGCCAATTGGGGGGTGGCCCATTGGATGGGCATGGCTGCGGTGGTAACAGCAGACTGGGTGGGACTAAAAAGGTCAATCAATCAATTCCAACTTTGCAAGATCTTTTTTTTCCCGCGAGAAGTTGAAATTGACTGATTGATTGAACCTTTTTTTTTTTGCACACGGTGGTGGAAGCCTAAAGCAAAAAGGTTTTATAAAACCCAGCTAAAGGCCTAGGACTGGGGCGATGATGCGTGTGCCCACAGAGAGGGCTCTGAGTGCCGCTTCTGGCACCCGTGCCATAGGTTCGCCACCACTGGCATATACAGATAATCCTTAAAGTACAATAATTCATTTTGCAATTGTTCAAAGTTACATCAAAATTGAAAAAAAAAGTGACTTAGGCTGGTCCTCACACATATTACCCATGATCACATGATCAAAATTCAGGTCACATGATTGAAATTCCAGCATGTATTTATAATGTCCCAGGATCACATAGTAACCATCTGGGACTTTCCCAGCCAGCTTCCAATAGCTAGCCAATGGGAAAAGATTAAACGGGTCAAGAAGAAGGTTTTGTGGATGCATTGTCACATCACCTATCACTGCTCTGAAATAAGGTCTTAAAAGTCTCTTGAAACGAGGTGCTGAGTAAATATTTCCATGGTGCAGAGTTTAATGAGAAGTTGAGTGGTAGAACTTCCCTTTTCAAGATGAAAGACCAATTCTTAAGAGGAGAAATTTCAAAAACAAGGAATGGAGCCATTTTAATGCTTTCTTTGTGGTTTTGACTTCTGCTTGACTGTTATGGAAATAAAAGGCTGTACCAGTTGGACTTGTGGCCCATCTGGCTGGCTTGTGGATCAGACTGAAGACAAAATCTTGATTGGTTGGTTGGTTGGTTGGTTGATTTTTTTTTTTTTTTTATTGTTCCCATTTATACCCCGCCCTTCTCCCGAGGGACTCAGGGCGGCTTACAGGTAAATAAAAACAGTACAATACAATAAATATCTAAAAACCAAATTAAAATATATATTAAATGACCTGTATTAGATTTAAAATTATAAAATCCCTTTAAAATCCCTATAAAATCCCCCCCTAGGCCAATCCTGCTTGATGGAAAAGCCATGTCTTGAGGGCACGGCGGAAGGAGGGGAGATCCGGAATAATCCGGATCTCTGGGGGGAGTTCGTTCCACAGGGTGGGGGCTCCCACAGAGAAGGCCCTCCCCCTGGGGGTCGCCAGCCGACACTGTT